CTAACATAAACGAAGGTTATTGATATGAAATTACTACGAAAATGATAATATTTGCAAAATTTCGCACATGAAGATATTAAAATCGATAACCTTCGAAGATTATCGATACGAATTTACTACGAAAACGATAATATTCGTAAAATTTTATACATGAAAATATCAAAATTGATAATCTTCGAAAGTTATCAATATGAATTTATTACGAAAATGATAATATTTACAAAATTTCGTCACATAAAAATATCAAAATCGATAACTTTCAAAGGTTAGCAAAGACCTTCGAAAGATAACATATCGAAAAACAGCGAAATACTTATGTTAACATTAACTTTCGAAGGTTTTCACTAGAAAAAATTTCCTGATATATCTAGCTTATATCCTTTATTAGTATCTCAAAGTATATGCACATTAGCCATATTAGCTAAAAAAAATCTGATTAATAAATATAAATGTGTGTAAATATTTTTATATATGTACATGTATCTTTAAATATAATGAAATATTCCAAAACGTTTCGAAAAATTTTGAAATAATTGTATACTATATGTGTGATCAAATATTTTGAGACATTTCGAAACATTTCAAAATATTTTTTAAAATAATATATTATCAAAATATAGGTCATATTCATAAAGAGTATTATAGTGCTAATGCGAGATACTTATCAAATGAGGTAATTTGAGAGATTAAAGGATCCATGGGTAGAATCCCTGATGCTATAAATGCAATGGCAAAAAAATATCACATAAATCATTATTGTGTCTTAGATTATATAGAAAATCGTGAGCGTAAGTAACAAATAATACAAAGTACTGTTTCCAACTAAATTGAAGAAGAGATTTTATTGCAGAGTAATAGTTCTTCGAAGCTACATCTGGAATCTATTACTTCTCCCAATACAGAAATAAAAAAGAAAAGTTCCAAATCTAAGTCTAAATCTGTTCGTACATCTGATTCATTATCCAGTAGTAATTCAATATTAGTTAATATTAACCATGCCAATTCTGCTGATATTTTAACAGAAAAAATATGTGAAAGTATTATAAATAATGATATTCCTATTACAGATGAAGTCACTAAGATTGAACGAGAAATAAAAAGAAAAAATAAAAATTTAGTTAATACCACTCGCATAGGATCTACTACTTAATCTATAACAGACTTAACAATATTTTCACATTTTCTTTGATGAAACTTATTACAATTATTAAATTCAGTAATCGATTTGAGGGCAATGTATAAACTTTTCTCATACCTTACACTATACCTGCCACCCAAATTCAAAATCCAAATGCTGAAATTCCAAATGTCGAAATCCCAAATCCCAAATCCCAAATTATAATTAATATTTTTTGCCGAAATCTCAAATCCCAAATTCCAAATACTAGTAATTTGGAATTTGGGCAACACATATACCTTACACAATTCACGTATTTTTTTTTAAAGTCGAATCAATAAATTCTAAGTTAAAACCCTCAGGAGCATGCCATTCCTCTAATAGTTCTGAAGTTTCTGTATCTTGAGTAATATCTTGTATTACAATAGTACAATAGCTTGATATCTTATTTGAAAGTTAGTTTTCATTAATATCTTCATTTGACTTAGTAAAGGTTAGGATAATATATGATTTACCACAAACTGACATTTGAAATTCATATTTATCTAAATCTGGGAATCCTTTAACTTTTCGAATATAGGGTGTTCCTAAGCAAAGAAGATAATCAGTTTCTCCGTCATCAATAATTACAATATTTATTATTTCTATAACCCATCTGTTTTTATGTTTTACAGTTATTGGTACATCTTTATGCCCACCAATTAATTTTGTTACTTGATCTGAATTATGTGTAAGATAAAATTTTGGTACTATTCCAAGATCCTATTCTAATGTATTGTTTAGTACTTTATTTATTACATTATATCTAGATACTATATCAATGATTCCTTTTGAAATAATTATATCATCAATCTTACATATTATATATTCAAGAGATTCAGCCCATATATTTTTTGTTAATGGGTCTGTGATTTTTTCTCGCAACGCTGAAAATAATAAGTTTAATAGCTGGTCATCTGATTCTGGAAAAAGTTTGTTGAAAGCAGTCACTGGTGAATCGACTACCTTATTTTGTTTGAATTCTGCAACTAATGATTTGTACAAAATTACTAATTTATGCATCTTGGTACTATTTACTCTTGATATCCGTTTTTTTTTGAATTATAAAATATATCATCATATACCTGCCACCCAAATTCAAAATCCAAATGCCAAAATCCCAAATCTCAAATCCCAATTCCAAATCCCAAATCCAAATTATTTTTGGCACCCCAAATTATTTTTGGCATCCCAAATTTATTTTG